TCAATTGCCAAGATTTGTGGAATGTGTCTAAACAGACAGTGCCTTCGCATTTAAACTTAACCTGAGAAATATTCACTGGAATAAAATGTGGGACATAGCCCCAGTCACCTTATTCATAGTTACTGACATTGCTTAAATAGCTTGACTTACCTCAACTTTGAATAGCTGGTAGAGATGCATAACGTTTGAGTTTATAAAGGACATAAGGCGCCCTCTGGTGTCAGACTATGAAAGACACACAGGGACAATGAAGTGATGTGATGGCAGATTATGCTTATTGTGAGAGGTGTTAAACTTCAGAGCCCAGTCTAAGCAAAATGATCTGTTTTCAGGCTATTTACACATGAACAAAACAGCAGAGTACATTAAAAAAATACTCACTCTCAAGTTGTTTCCAAACCTGTATGCTAATTTCTTTCTTGTGTTGCACACAAAATAATATATTTTGAATAATTGATAATTGAACAGTTGATGGATCCCATTGACTTCCATAGTATGGGTAAACAAATAGTATGCAGTCAGTGGGTTCCATCAACTGTTTGGTTACTTCTTCAAAATATCTTCTTTTGTGTTCAACAGAAGAAAGACATTCATACAGGTTTGAAACAACTTGAGAGTGAGTAAATGTTGACATAATTTTCAATTTTGGGTGAACTATCCCTTTAAAGAGACACTAAGGCAGTGTGAGCAGATGAATATGAGTGAAACAAACCCTCATCTTTGGTATCTGAAACTGAAACCGCTTGACAAAAGATCCCAAGGGCCCACAACAGCACCCAGACGTCTACCATTCTTTGGATAGTTATTGTAGTCAAAAATAACACACAAAGAACAATTAAATATTAATAATATCTAAAAAATAACAAATGAGGAATGCAAGATTATTCCTTCTTTCTGCCGCTCATTTTTGTCCCTTCATCTCTTTCTCGCTGTCACTGCCCTTGAAAGGACCTCTCCCAGAAAAACAGGCTTTAAATTTCACCTTAATAAACTCTTCCTGCAGGGTTCTTCCTTTGTGGATCGATGGAAAGAGGATCTGTTGTAACATGACTAGTGTGGCTGCTCTTTTCTGCCACAGACTCACATCTGCCGCCATTTTGTCTCTTTGGGACCCTTACAAGTGCACCAGCAATTTTTTTAGATGACACCAAGATCTCACTAGCTACTAACGATAATTCCAGCTCAAATCTTGAGGAGACAAAGTCTTGACTACTCCTTAAGTTTACTGTAAAACAAATGTACTGAACTAAACATCGTTTTATTAAACGTTGTTAAAAATGTTTTAATTTATTATATATATACTGTATATATATATATATATTTTATTTATTTATTTATTTATTTATTTATTTATATGGACTCTAAAACTGCTAGAAAATATGTCTAACCAAGTTTTGTCCAAATTTTAAGTAGATATCAAGTGAAATAAAATGATGTCCAATTTCAAAACAATTACTTTAAAATATTTATTTTGTGTAATATAGCCAGAGCCGGACAGTAACGGAGTGCATTTACTTGAGTACAGTACTTAAGTACAATTTTGAGGGATCTGTACTTTACTCAGTATCATTTTTGGGGAGTACTCATGACTTTACTCAGGTACATTTGAGAGGCAAATATTGTACTCTTTACTCAGCTACATTTCTATCCATAACCGTGAGTACCCGTGACTACTTCTAAAAAAAAAAATTTAAAAAGGAAAAAAGAAAAATCTCGGAAACCCTCAATTTGTTGTTTCCCTCTCAAACGTGATTGGATTGTGCAGGCACCACTGATTGGGGCAGCCTATCAACAATCACCTTCAGCTTTCCGCCAAAGTCAACTCCATGGTCAGATTTAGATAAGAGACGAAACCATGGACGAAACAATGGATGAAGACGCACCAGGTCCATCCCGGGAATGTGCCAACCCGTGGCCCCACCTCGCCAGACTATTTCAATTTTCTGAAATTTCAGAATTTTTCTTAAATGTTAAGTAAAGCAACATGGTAAAAAGATGAAAATGACTTGATTTTACTTTCAATTCCTTTTACATTCTCCAAGGTATTAACATTTTTCATAACTCCATGTAGGACGTGTCTGTACATAAATGTAAGCACTGTGGCAGTAGTATGCAATATTTAGAAAATGTACTCTTGATACTCAAGTACTTTTAAAAACAAGTACTTCAGTACTTTTACTTAAGTAGACATCTGACTGTAGTACTTTTACTTCTACTTGAGTAAAATTTAGCAAGGGGTATCTGAATATAGCTGTTTGTGAATGAAAAAGGTCTGCAACCTTTTAAAGATAAAAGTCCACGACAAATAGCCTAAAGTTATTGTCTCCTAAAAGAAAGAATTGATTCTGAACTGCTGAAACGAGTCGTCAGCAATTCCAGTCTGACTTCCTGTTACAAACCTAAGTAGCAATGTAACAAATTTGCATAATCCCAGCCTATGGTTTTCATTGGCTGCCTGCGAACAACAACTACTTTGCCTCGTCCTCAAACACTAGTTGTAGCTGAGACTGGAAGAGTTTGTGTTGTCGACGTTACTTTAGTCAAGAAAACGCTATTTTCAGTGCTGCAAAACCACTTTGCATGCACTTCAAAAGGGTGAGGACTTGTGCTGGAATTGATGCAGAAGAACCGATGGCATTGTTACTGTTTGTATCACTGTGTATCAAGTGCTGAGGAAGCTTCCGGAGCTGAATTTCTGATATGGTAACAGGCTTTTTGTTCTCCGACACACGCTGTAAGCGGAAGAGTCAGACCAATCACAACAGACTGGATTAAACTTCTGACCAATCAGAGCAGAATAGGCTCGCAGAAAGTAGGGGTTTAGAGAGCTAAATCTTTGAATTAACCATTTTCATAATCTTTGAGAAATGAGGTTATGTGAATATGAGAAATGAGATGGTTATGAGAAAATGTAAGTGTTTTTGACCTTGGATGCATGTAAACCTATTGTAGGAGACCTTTAAAACAAAATTAGGAACTTTTAAAGGTAGGGTAGGCAATTTCAGGTAGGCTAGCAATAGCGAGCTAGCTTTGAAAGCATGAGATCCCACCCTCCCTTCAGAGCGCTCTTCAAAGACAAACCTTCTTCAAAACACATGGACGGTGTGAAATTACCTCTTGTTTTAAAGCACATAATATTACTATAATAATTAATCTAAACAATTTACAGAGCTCTTGTACCACCTGACTTCTGCAGTTTAATTTAGCCGTTGATTAAGTTGACATAGAAACGCATAAATCTGAGTCTGAGGACGTGAACGTCACGGATTCCCCTCTGCATAAACTGCATAAGCTCATTCTTTTGGTTTAGGATGAACTGTTAAAGGCGGCTGATGTTTGTTTGTGGCGCTCTGTGACTGTCTGTCTACAACTCTGCATAGCCTTCCTGAGCGCGCTGATGATGTGTGATGTCTGTGTGAGCAGGTGCGAGGAGGTATGGAAATACATATGTTGGTAGGCACATCAGGCCGAATGCAATGATTGGACGAAAATGTTTTTGGCCCTGAGTCTTCCACAGAAGAAATCTGTACATGTTTAAATATTTAGACCACTTATTTTTTATTTGATTGCTATCAGGACATGAAGAGTTCCAACCAGTAAAACAAAAAAAAAGTGATTATGAAAAAATGTGCCTATACCCTACCTTTAAAATAGCATAATAGGGGCACTTTAACATTATAAATAACACTGTATACACATTAATACACATTAAGCATCATTTTAATTTAGAGAAATGACATTAACTGTAACTGCCTGTTTTAACCAAAAATTATTATGCTGTTTTTCTTATATTGATACATATTGTGGACCATAAGGAATTGTATTAGAGCACTTCTCTATTACTGACAAGTTGCTAAAAGTAGTATTGTAATTTTCATCATTAATTAAAAACTGAGGGTCAGATGATGCATCATAAGGCAAAGTTTGTTTATCAGCACATGGTCTCAGTGCTCATTAAGCTACAAACAGGTTTTTATTCCTCTGCTTCTTCCATAATGAAATCATTAAGGTAGAAGTAATTAGGCCAGCGCATCTGTCTTCATAGTAACTTCACACGGTCACAAACACGTAAATGCACATACTGTGCTCTAGTCTAAGCATCCCAAAAAATGCAATTATAAAACTATTAGGTTTGTTATCAGATAGGTTATTATTAGTGATGTGATGGCCCTTTTAAAGTGAAGGGGGGAAACAACAACAGAAGAGCGTCTGCCCTCTTATGGGCTTCTCTTCATGAAAATCAAATGTGAGGTGATGCTGATACGTTTTCCAAACGGTCTTTTGAGCTGATTCAGCCCCAAAGTATTTGTTACTTGGATTTTACTTACGGATTTCCACATCTGGGGTGGGATTTGACTCATGCAAATTAGCTGGATAATTATATGCAAGCCTACTATGCATTCAAGATTAAGCAACAACAAAAAATAAACAGTTGTAAGCATATTTGAGATAATTTAAAATATTTTAATTTGAATTTTTGAATAAAATAAAATAATGAAAAGCACTAAGTCACAAAGTCCTAAACTTCTGAATTGCCATCCTTAGAAAGTTCGGCTAAATCTTACACAAAGATGCTCAAAGAATCAGATGGATAGGGCTGATGGGAGGGGAAGCATATGGTCAAACAAAGCACTTTCTAATGGCGTATTAAATATCCTGAGACAGGCTCTTGGGCGCTACACGTTCAAACCCTAAAAGCCGATAATGCACGAAGCTTCCTGTGCTCAGAGCCCTCTGGGATCTGATGATGATGATGATGGTTTAGATCAATGATACACTCTATCTCCCCCACCTCCTCCCTCTCTCTGAAGCTTCACAAAGATGCTCTGTCATCATGACTTTCTTCATTCATGCCCTGAATCCTCAACCTCAAATACTCTTAATGATGCACTGATGGAATCAAATCAAATAATGCCAACAAAGTGTCAACTATTAAAAGTCATGACCCAAACCATGTGTAAAACCATCAAGCATTAGTTGCATGTGTGAAATCATCTCACCTGTCCGATTTGGCAACTCTCCTAAAGCTTTGGTTTGATAAATCCTGGTGCGTTTGCGGTTCTGCTGATATTCCCTGCGCGCGGTGCGTTCGCGGTCCGATCTGCGCGCTCGGTAAAACAGACTGACATTTGTGCAGCTTTCTCTTCAGCTCGTGGATTTCGTCTTCTCGCTCCAACAAGCGCCTTTCCAGATCTCGTATCCTCTCCTCCTTGAGCATTAAAATCTTGGCAAAGTCTTCCTCTAGGTCACTCATTCTGAGGTAGTAAAAAAAAAACTTTAATCCCCTTGAAATTAACCAGGCGCGCTCTCAAAATGTAACACGCGCCCAGACAAGCTCTGGTTGTGAAGCTCCAGTGTAAAACAGCTGATCTATCCACGTGTTTACAGTTGGAAACGGGAGTCGGCGTCGGTCCCGCTGCCGGTTACTTGTGTCCCAAACATCCCTGTCCAAAAACACACACCATAGTACCGAGTACAGACTGTCTCCTCATCCACTGGATCTTCAAAGGCATAGGCGGAGTTTCACTTTTGTGCTTGGGGGCTAAAGTGGGGGGTGGGGGGTGGGGGGGGGGGGGGGGGGGGGGAATAAGCCGCATCCGAAACTGTAGGCTATTCTATATAAACCACGATAAGGTGCAATTCCACGGACATTTTAAAGCACAGAGGCGATATAAATGCGCTTACACTGGAGTCGCAAAGCTCAATATGTGAACTGTAAGGTCAGACACTAGACGCGCACTGATCGATATGACAAGTTTGACAATTGCCGTGTCCGATTTGTGAATGAATCAGATGAGTCGGATCTTATCAAACGGTACGTGATTTGGATCTCTTGAATGAATCGGTTGAACAATCTTTTTCATTATACCGTAGTTGAATCGGGCCAAGCTCTATTGACTCACTGAACTGAGAAACGAAACTTATTTTTCTAACAAGCCCGATTCGTTATGGACCCAAAACCAATGTGTGAACTGATTTGGATCGTACCAAGGATTTGACAGAGGGCGGGGCGAAAAGTTAGTTACGCCCACTTTAATAAATAAAAGAAATATTACAGAATAAGTTAGACTATGTCTATTCAACATAGCCTACATACGAAAAAAAGTTGTTTTTAAATAAATAGCATAAAACATTTTCAGCCAGGAGATTAAAAATGTAAATTCAAAGGCTATATTTATAATCTATTTTATAGCCAATATTTTATGAAGTGAATCATGGCAGCAACAAACTGAACTAGGACACAAATAACAGTAATTGTAACAAATAACAACAGTAACAAATAATCTTAATTGTTTTGAAAAGCAAATCTTTGTGGTTTTAAAGTATTAAATGCCACGCTGGAATGTCACAGGACGACGTGATGGCGTAAAGAACTGCTGAATCGTTTTTTTATTGAACCTCTAAAGTTTAGAGTCTAAACGAACCGATTAGCTGAAATGAATTATATCATTAATGCCAAGTGCAAGTGAGGAAGACATGTAGGCTAATGCAGTGTTTTAAGACTGATATGATATCACATATTTAAGATAAACTACATAATTATACCTGCAATATAGGCCTAATAGTTATTTAAAGCCTAATAATGAAATTAATGTTGTGTTTTATCCACACGTGCAAACAATGATAAGACAATTTCGGCTGGCAGCCCCCAAATTCAATGCGGCTCATCATCCCCGCGTCATGTGATGAATGGGTGACGTAATCTCGTGAAACCTGACACTTGAATTACATGCTGTCATTTTTAGGCATCTTAGATCTAAAATGATTCAATCTAAAAAGAAAAACTCTGTTTTGCATGAATCATTAGCTGAATAATTAGCCTATTTTGTATTATGGCAGCAGCATTATTTCTTTCTATGACCACTCTGAGGGACATACAGTAGACTATTGTGTATTCATGACCATCCAGCCATGATATGAAAGCATCATCCCTCTTCACATTCATGAGAGAGGGGCTGTAATTCAAATGCAGGGATAGAGAGAGAACAAGAGAAAAGAGAGACTAAAAATATATTGGTTTTCTTTGAAAAGCACCCAATGCTCCGAAAACATATTTTAATAATATTTGTTTAATCATAACCAAACAGTACAGTACACACCTATTATAAAATAAAAAAAAAGTTCAGATTCTAAATTTTGATTTAGTTTTGTTATTCAAGCACTGAAAAATGCACACTATTAATGCTATGAAGTCATGGCAGCCAATAAAACAATAAGCCACACAAAGCTGTGGGATTTTTCACCCAAAAGAATCTGTCATCATTTACTCACCCTCAAGTTGTTCCAAAACGGTATGAATTTCTTTCTTTTAACGAGCACAAAAGAAGATATTACCAAACAGTTGATGGGCCACATTGACTTCCATGGAAAACAGGCTATATGGAAGTCAATGGGCCCCATCAACTGTTTGGTTACCCATTCTTCAAATGATCTTCTTTTGTGTTCAGTGGGTAAGTAAATGATAACAAATTTTACATTTTTGGATGAACTATCCCTATAACAGTGCTTTACCTCTTGGTTAATGCTGTTTTACTATTTATCCATGGTAAAACAGAGCCTAAATTGGCTAATTGTTTTTAGCTGTTTGACAGAACATCAAAGTGGGATCATAATAAGAAACAATGGCTATGGATTCACCATATGCACCATATGCACATATGTGCGTTTTTTTTATCACAGTTATATATTTTGTATAGTGTTATTATAGTTTATCATTATTAGGTGAGCAGGATTCAAAATACGTTGTCTTTGGTGTGATCACAGGGATGTGATAGGAGCTAATTCTCTGTCCGTCCTGCTGTGCGAATGATGACACAGTGATTAGCACAGGACTGCTGTGCACCTGAGGGACTGATTGGATTACAGGCTGGGGTGGGGTGGTGCTGGCGCAGACATTACTCATCCTATTCCTGTTATACAGTCTCTCTCTCCAACTCTCTCAGTGAAACCCAATCGGATGTCTCTGAGCTCCAGGACCAGAGGACGTTCTGTCAGTCATTGATCAGTTCTGCCGCTATGCCCTGAAATCTGGGATACAGGAAGTCAGTAAGGAGATATGGTCAATACGGCAGGCTTGATCAAGGGTTCAGTGATCATTTATTATTGGTGATGCTTGCTAAGTCATGCAACACTATTATTATTATTGTTCATATGGTACATGCTACAGATTTGAATGATACCTATTCATGCAGCTTAGTCAAGTCTGGATGGATGGATGGATGGGCTGAACATGATTTCACCAAGTAGCCTACAACATGTTCCTGGATCAACATCTTTGTTGATCCTGGAGCAACTTTCCAATCAACCAATCATTTGAGGGACAAGTTTAAAGTTTATGTCAAGTTTAGACTTACAACCAGGGTTAGGTGCTTCTACATGGTGTAATTCACATCATTTCCCTCCGATTTTACAGATAAGTTATGGGTAGGGTTGGGTTTAGGGGTATATGGATAGGGTTAGGACAAAATTAAAAACATATGTTAACAAAATATGTTGATCCATGTCTTACTTGGCAAAATTGTGTGGATGGATGGACAGTTTTCGGCAGACAGATACTGTAGTAGAACAATAGAAAGATAGATTCAAGACTATAAAAGCGGACTGACTTCAGTTATCTGTCCATACAGGCCAGTGCATTCTTGTCTGCTGTAGTATGTGCATGGCAATTTATGAGTCAGCTGTTAGTAAATACAGTTGTCACTCATTGACACTAACTGTGTGAATGTAGATGAGACCTTGGCCAACAGCCTAGCAACTAGAAACCCCATGAAAACCATTCAGAACACATGGCAATGGATTAGCAAACACTCCAGGATCAAGAAGGCAATAAAGCAATATTCATTTTCTTCAGAGAATGTAAAGACAGTTTGATTATGACTGTCATATCAGTTTCCAGTGCTGATTTAAATATGTAAACATTTCTGTTTCTAAACTGAGGAGTCAATTGTCTGAGCTCAGAGGTGGGGTTGCCCTTCTCAGCAGTTTCCAGATGCATCATTACAAAACAAGGCTTGAGAAATGTCACAACGTAGAAGTCAGCTCAGAGCCCACGAGAGAGAGTCGTGCTCATGGTAATTACTGTCTCTCTGTCTGCTTATATTTGATCGACTGTCAGTTCACACGGTCTGTGCTCACATTCTCTAAATGAGGAGATTCAGGTTGATATAAACTGAACTGACTCCTGCTTTCATCTCTCTCTCTGTCGACTTATTCTCTCTGTTTCTCATGCTGTTGTCTCCCCTCAGCTCAGGAATGTTATATTTTTAGAGGAGTGTAACACACCGTTCTCAAAGGGGGAAGGGGATATTTTCACTTACATGTACTCAGGTGTCTTGTAGAGGCATCTTATTAGACCTTATTCTTCTAAGGAAAATAGTTGATGATAGGACGCCATCCAATGGACAATTCAAATGGCTGATTATCTCTTCTCTCTCTGAGAACTCAGTAATGTTTTCATTTCATGGACTTCCATTTAAAAGGGCTGTTTATAACTTTAAGTATCAAGCCATTCCCCCACTTTTATGTTGGGCCTTTTAGGGGAACAGTTTGTACACCGTATTTAATGTAAACAACCAGATCTTTGACCGACTCACTCACTATCTGACTCATTCATTTGCTCTCAGTGCTGTCATGGTGGTCAGCATGCAGAGACAATGCCAAAATATCTTCTGCTATGTCGGACCGTCAGCGCTCCTCTTCCAGACTGCCCACATCTGGTGAAATTTATGGGTCTCAGCTTTGGAGTTATTTCCCTGTGTCAAAAATGGCCTTTCATTCTTAAACTGTTCCTCAAGAGTTGAGCAAAAAGCTTCTCGGATGGTAGCCAGACAGTCTATGCTCACCTTTGTCATCTCAGGTCAGGCCCAGTTTAATCCTGATGTCTTCTTACTATACTATAGGTCACGTTATCAGATCCTTCAAAACACGATCGATAGATAAATTAGATAGATAGATAGATAGATAGATAGATAGATAGATAGATAGATAGATAGATAGATAGATAGATAGATAGATAGATAGATAGATAGATAGATAGATTGATAGATAGATAGATAGATAGATAGATAGATAGATAGATAGATAGATAGATAGATAGATAGATAGATAGACATGTACCATGTGGCTGTGTTAACATTGACATTTTATTTGTGCTCTAAAGGCTAGTGTATGAATTATGTGGTGCAGAGTGATGGTGTGTGTGTGTACACACGTGTGTGAGTGGAGCGTAACAGACCTTAAATGGTGCGGCTGTGCACTATAACACAGCGGTGGGACCCTCTTCCTGGCAGGAACATAAAGACAGCAAACAGATCCCCCTACCTCAGCGACAGAGCAGCATAGCAAGAACACAGTCACAACCCTTCCTCAGATAACCTGATCTAATTGTAGCTGCAGTGGAAAAAACAGAATATCTGTCTACATCGCTGCCCCTTCCTGTGTGTGGGCGCTCCGGTGTTTACGGTGGTGAATGTCTGTGTGTGTGTGTGTGTGTACTTGTACATGTTTTTCTATCCTGGTGGGGAATTCAACCTGAATG